TTTCCTATATATATTTTCTTTTTTTTGGTACATAGATATATATACACGAATATATATAAAAGTACATATACGACCAAAGTATATTTAAGTTTGAAACTTTTTTTATAGGCAAATATAGAAATGGTAAATGTATAAGCACAAATATGATATATGATCTAACCACGTTTATATATGTTCACGTTTGATATATAAACTCAAACAGATACATGATAGATTTATCGGAAATACTTGAAACTAAAACATACATTTCGAAGATAGTTTCGTCGCAGAAATTTATTGCAAACTCGTTTATTCTTCTTTCCATCATTATTGGTAACAATACTTTCTCTTTTCGGATTTATATTATCGTAACAGATTTTTCTTTACTAATTTTTTGTCGGTTACATTTAATAGAATAGACGTTTGTTAATGGACGTTGTAAAAAAGAAAATACAAGAAAAAAATGGATTTTATTTAGGTCATCGTTCGTTGTAAGAATTTGTCCGTGTCATAACCAGAAGACAAGACGTAGTTTCTTATTCGCAAATAGACAAAACATGTCTGGTTTAGGCAGTCGTTCAATAGATACCGTGCGTTCCTACAACTTGCTAGCTTTTTAAAATTCACTCTTCGAGCACTCCTGAATCTCATTCATACGAAAATAAGTTCGCGAGATGTCCTTGGAAAGCTTGTTCGGGAAAACGAATGGAAGTGGTTGGCGAAAATAAGAATAATGGAAAAGGGTGAGGAAAGCTGAATGACTTCCGAGAAATTATTATTCCCTTTTAGCGAATTTAATTTTATAATCTGTGATTATTAATTATAATTTTTGGTGTACTATTTGGTATAAGTTTTGCCAGTCGTCTGTACGATGGATTCAAATCATTGAAAATGTGTGTGTGTATGTGTTGAAAACTTATTAATAAATATAATAAATTTGTTTAAAAGAAATCAAATTAATTGCTGTGTTTATTATATATGAATGCAAATTGTACGTACGATCAATTATCTATAGTAAAGAAGCATCTTTCTCTCACACTGTTAAGTCAGATACGACATACTCGCGTTTCCGTGACAAACATAATCTACTTACGAGACAAATCCTCTTACCGTGTCACCGTTAGAATCTCTATTTGCCATATCACGTATCAGCTCGAATAAAGTAATCGATTCGCAACTGGTCGAATTTCAGAGATCTTTATTCCATCCAGATATTTGCTAGCCAAAAAATAGAAAAAACCGAAACGAATTTAGTATGCTAGTTTGTTTGAAAAGGATTCACGTGTCAGGATTAAAATTTCACGATACATTGTTAATGTTATATCTATCATTTTTTTGTAAGACTGATAATTTGCCCTAATTTTAGATCGATATATTATCATTAATATCATTTATCTTAACCCTCGTTTCATGACTTTATAAATACAATACGAATGTCGATACTTTTTCAATATCGAAGAACTAAATCGACGGAACCTGGATATGGTTTTAATTTTACATGGAAATTCATGTCACGTTGGAAGAAGATATGTTATATATTATTTTGATTTGGATTTTTTGGTCAATTTTAGCACTTTTATCACTTTTTCATAGCTCACGTTCGCGAGTAGCGACATAAATGGATAACAGAAACTCCTATTTCGACTTGATTTTCGAACTGAACTGAAATGGAACGGTGGATTTGCTTGAAGCAGAGATATAGAGATCGATTGATAAAAGTCTACATACGTTTGTATCTACGTAGGAATATATGTACACACATAATCGAATCGTATTCAGAAGAGCAAAGTAACGAGAAGTTTTCGTTTAAACAAACGAGGGGAAAATCGATCGATAGAAAACTTCAACTTACATTAGTTAGACTTTCAGTTAGATCATCTCTATTTCTTCCTTTTTCTTTTTCTTTTTCTTTTTCTATTTTCTTTTTCTATTTTCTTTTTCTTCTTTCTCCTCTTTTTGAAGTAAAGAGCCCGTAAAAATCGATCCACCGATGTTAATCGGTCGCGATCGTTTACTCGTAACGGTAGTCGTTACTATTCAAGTTAAATGAGATTTCCCGTCGAAACTGGCGAGGTTCCATTTGAGAAAACGTCCCTGCTGCATCAGACGAAGACCGAACTAACGCTTTTTTATGTCAACAGAAAAGGATATTTTTGAAGGAGCGCATTGTGAGCTGTTCGATCAGCTCGTAAATCGCGTTAGGATAAGACCTCGCTGAATATCGATGAAAAGGTATTACGATTCTTTCCAACGATCTAACTCCATCCCCCTCACCCACCCCAGCTCTCTCTCTCTCTCTCTCTCTCTCTCTCTCTTTCTTTCTCTGTGTGCTGAGTATGTGTCTACGTTCTTCAAACGTTTGAACTTTATTTCGAATCGCGACGTCGAACTTGGCACTCGACAACTGTCCCCGTTCGAGCAGCGAATCCGAATAGCCGAGATATTCAAGGTTACGTGACGAAATTCGTCTTATCATCAGACTTAAATGCATTTATCTTTGAGGAAGTTTTTTCGTCATATATAATTACCTTATTAAATGTTATCTCTATTGTTGGTTGTATAAACGACAAATTGAGGCTACGATTAAATTTCATTTATCGTAATGTTTAACTGCGTTTTTCTTTTTTATTTGTATTTTTGGTTAACAATAGCACGCGTTTAAATTGATTAAGGAAATTAACGTTCATTAAGTAAATGCGATTACTTCGTTCGAAACGTAATTAAGAACGGATCGTTAAACCAGTAACACAGTCACTCTTTTACTTTACTTGTTTTTATTTTTATTTTTATTTTTTTTCAACAGAACACGATTGTTTTTGGTGGTGACTTTTTGGCGAACATAAATTTATTATTCCATATGTTTTTTTTTCAATTTAAGAAGGTAATATCACTGGGAATAGCATAATATAAGAGAAAAGTTGGACGCGTTAGTTTGAAGTGTTGCAGCAGCTGGTACGAATGCGTTAAAAATGACACTTAAAATGTAACAGTACGATAATCGGCGTTCGTTCTCTTTGCATCTTATCTTACATTGCATGTTCCACATAAATTTTTATTATAATATATTGTAACGAAATATTATTATCCTTATTCTATACGATGTCACATTTTAGTTATCCTATAGTCGTATCAAATATTTCCAACAAATATTATTCATTAATATTATTTTTCTCATTATAATATAAACGTTAGAAAAGATTATATTATATGTAGAAAAATATTTGAACTAATATGAGCGAAGTGAAAATAACAGATATTTTTCGTATATTTCAAAATATCGTCTACTCAGTTTACAATAACAAGGTATTCAATCAAAGTTCATAGCTAAAGAACTTCTCATTAGTTTCTATACGAATTCGTGCATTTGTGTAGAAAGCATTATTCACGCATATATGATGATGATAATGATACACAGATATGTATAAACGTCAGTCCACACTATCGATTTGGGCAATCGATAATCATCGAATCTTCTGTATTAATTAACGCTGACTAATTGCACTCATTAATAACGTGTTTACAACTAATAAATACGCATTTTCTTTTCATACGTGTAAACATATTAGTTTTTTACATGTAATATGCATATACCTAAATATATAAGAATCGTATGATACTCTTGACGCATGTTTATGAATCACGAGTTTAACAAACCAATATATTTATTTGCAACAGTATATAATACTTACGTGTAAACATTTCATTGCGCGCACGTTTCATAACTTCTCTTATGATTAATTACAAGGATAAATCTGACTCTCTCTCCCTCTCTCCCCTCAGTCCCCCTCTTCTTTCTCTATATTGACAATAAGAGAAAAAGGAATGTAAATTCTTCCGAGATGTTAATGTATTTTTATTTTTTAATATTATAATATAATATCTTATAAATTGATTGTGAAATACTCAAATAGAAATAAATATATTACATTCGATGAGTTTTATATCATTAATAATTAAATCGTTATTATATATACATCGAAAATGATTGCTACTTTTAATTATATTTATATACATGTATGTATGTGAATTATCCACTTCTCTCTTTCTCTTTCTCTCTCTCTCTCTCCCCATTTCTCGAACCGAATCCACTCAACTTTGATTTGTATTATTCATCTCATTTAACTCGTAGATTCGTTCTCGTCAATGAAGAATTTTCACTTCGTTGAAATTATCCGACAGAATATATCCGAGTGTACCAATAACAGGTTGAATAATTATCGTTGCAAAGATGGAATTGACGAGTGTATCGAATTAATATTCCGAATATAATATATGTACTCTAATGTAAAAGATATTTCAGTATTTGAAGTGATAATAAACGAAGGTTGGATTCTGATATTAATTCCCGATATATATATATATATATTTTATTATTTCTATAATTAAATATTTAATCTATTTAAGTGATGATTATATCAATCAATTGAATATCAACAAAAAGATTCTAACGGTCGAAATATGTTATCAAATATCGAATGTTCTTGACATTAAATAGAAAACAATACAACTATCGAAAGATTATTCATAAATCTCAAAAAGAAAAAAATCAAATTCAAATTCCTAATTGAGATTTAAAGCGCGACATGCAAATAAAAGATGATAAGTTCTTTGAAGGCTCGCGCAAATTGTGAAATGATTTCTCAAAGAGACGTAGGTAAGTTTCGTTCCGATAAAGACTGATATCGTACTTAAGGTAAACCGTAAATGATAGTGGCACCAGCATGTTTAGTTGAAATAGAAATAAAAAAAAAATGTATAGAGTGAAATAGCAAGAGCAGGAGCAAGCAAGAGAGAGAGAGAGAGATGGAACGATAAAGTTAGAATCCAAGAGAGTAAACTAGAGAACGAGAGAAGAATGTAGAAGAGTGAGTGAGAGAGAGAGAGACAACAAAAGGGTGAAGAGGTAAGGAAAGAGACGGAAAGAGAGTGTTTGCCCCTTCCAAAGAAGTCCGGTGGCGTGAGCGATCGGCGCAAGCGCATTTGATCGGCTTCAAAGCTTCATGCCGCCAAAATGCATTCGCTACTCAGTCGTGCACGGCCGGTTGCAAAGTACGTTACTTGATAAAGTGTTCTTATCAATTTCATTTATACGTTTGATGTTAAACAACGTTTTCTTATTTATCATAATCATTTGCTTTATTCATTATTTATAATACGTTTTAATCGTATATAATCTTGAATAATACAATCGAGATATATTTATATATATATATCGATCTTGTCAACTTGTTTTTCAATTTTAATAGAAGAAGAAGAAGAAGAAGAAGAAACATTTAAACGAACTTTTTCTTCTATTTCATTTTTTTATATAAAAATTTGAAAAACGTGAGAGATAGTGACGTAAGGAGGAAAAATATATTTCACGTGGGTTGAAAAAAAGACAAAAAGAAAGTAAGAAAAAGAAAAATCAACGTCGTCAAATTCGTTAATTTCGACGAGTGTTGTCATCACGTTTATTCGTGAGAGAAGATAAAGGACTACTACTACGAATATTTAAGAAAAGGAATCTAGAAATGAGAACACTTATGGAACACCAACTGTCCTGGTTCGCCTTGTTAATGACTGCATTCTATTCTCGTAAGTATCTCTTTTATTATTTTTTTTTATCCAAGTGTCAAGGGTAATTTTATTTCTAGTATGGATGTATTAGTTGGGACATGGGAACATACAGCGGGGGGGGGGAGGCGAGATGATACCTTTAAACGATTCATTTTATTTCGATATGTGCGTTATTCGTATTCTCGTCTGTGATTGGCTTTATGCCCACGTGCTTTTCATTTCTCTTTCTCTTTAACTCCCCCTCGTGCTTTCTTTCTATTTCTAACTTTTTCGACACGATGATTTTTGTTAATCTAATCAAACAGGAATACTGGAAAAAAATTGCCTAGTAATCAAGAAACTGGCGTTCGTATTACGGAGAAAAGAAGCTAAAAAAAAGCATTTTCCCTTTAGCAGATTTCGTTTCTCGCGCCCTTTTTTACCTTACAGCTGGTTCGACCTTTAACGGTTCAACGCACTAACGAACACGAATTAAAGGTATTTTTCTCGATTTTTCACAAAGATAAAATTCGATTTGTTCTCGTGAAAAATCATATTACTAGAATCTTCAAATTCGATCATATTTTTTTTTTTCTTTCACTTTTTTTCTTCTACTTCTTCTTCTTCAAACATTCATTCTCTTATTATCGGATTATTATATTTCTGTTACCTTATAGGAAAAAAAAAAAAGATTTCACGATATCGTAACTATCCCTTGAGAATTAATTCGTGACACTTTGAGATTGAAAAATAGAATGAAAGATAGATAGATAGACGTAGACAAAGGTAAGATGAAAAGATCGAAGAAAAGGAAATGGATTCCCAAAGCGGGCACGAATCCGAATCTTCCTTCCTTCCTTCCTTCCTTCCTTCCTTCCTTCCATAGATGAAGGAAAATTTCATTCTTTCGTTCATTGCTCCGAACCGAAACTCGCCGGTAATTAGGTTTGCCTCAGATCAGGACATTTAATTAACGGACGTGATTGATATCGCTGCGAGATAAGCGAAATTTTATACGTGAATTTTCTTCTCTTACTAACTCCCCCCCCTCCTCCTACCCCACTCTATCTATCATCTTTAATTTTCTTTTTATATACATATATAACATTGTTTAACAAAAGAACATAAATAAAAGTGATGATTCGATCTTGAAATTAATTGTAAATGAAAAAAGAAGGGGAGTAATATCTGAAATATAATATCATTCATTCGTTCGTTTCATTTCATCTCAATCATCCTTATGTTTCTTCCATACATATGCTAATAAATTATTTGCATAAATGACAATGTCATAGTTTAAACGAGAACAATCATATGTAACGAGAAAGAACGCGTAATTTAGAAAACGTAAGTTGGAAAAATATCTTCCGCATACGCAGCCTATACTAAACGAAAGCTGACGATAGTAGTTACGCGTTCGACTATTTTAGTCTCCTATCTTGTTGATCATCTTATTTCAACGATCGCCAAGGAATTCGTTGAAAGTATCCATAATATATATGTTTAATGTATACCTGTATATACCATAAACATACGAGAAATTTACGTGTGCATTTACGTTTTGTGTAATATTTTTCCAATCTAAAATTGCGACGTGGAAAAACTTGTTTACGATTTTAATCAATTGACATCGTCGTAATATTGGCAACGTGTATTTTTCTATCTCTCTTTATCGATCATAGAAAATGACCTATCCTCACGTTGCATCCGGTTCATCCTTGAATACAATTTCAATGAAATCATGATTAACGTTGGCAATTTTACAATCATACGATGAATGCTGTAAACAATTCATTTAATACTTGAAACACACGCGTACGCGATATATATTATTTTATTGAAATAAAAATAAATTAATTGTAGAAACGCGAGAGATTTTAATAAATTTGCGTTGGAAAGTGTTTCCCTTTTTTTTCTTTTTTTTCTTTGCGATCTTTTTTCAGCGCGAAGAAATTTTAGAAGAAATAAGAGTTTGATTTACCATTTTAATAAATATTATTAATTGTAGGGCGCGGGGAAGAACGTATAATAACGTCGTGTGTTTGAAAGTTTAGTAAACAAAACGTTGATGAGTAAAAAATAGTAAAGAGTAATTGTAAGAACACAAAATACATTTCTCTTGCAATCCACCGAAATAATCGCGCTCGCAACAAGTATTTCTTTTTATTCCGTCCACCGGATGCAGTTATTTCGCGTTGTAATATTTGCGAATTCCGCTTGTAAAACTTTACGCTTCTTATAATTACCAAGGATTATCCTTTTAATTCGGATGTCTCCTACGACCATGTATATTCTTCATTCATTATGGAAAATATTATATATTCTCTCTCTCTCTCTCTCTCTCTCTCTCTTCGCGAAAATTGTATTTCCGGTCCGTATGAGGAATGAATTCATTTCACTCTGTCACTAAAGTACTGAAAAATCTCGACATTTTTCATTCGTATACGAAAATTCGTAAATTACGGAAGCGTAACAGCTGGACGCGAGAATCTTTTTAAAACATCGTGTGTCAGGGAAATGTCAAAAAATCAAAATGAAGAAGAAGAAGAAGAAAAGTGAAGATACACGACAGAATAGCTTGAAAACGAAAGGGAAAAGGGTAATAGGGGAAAGGAAACAAATCGCTTAACGATCATGTGCCAAACGTGGAAGAAAAATTCTTACCTTTAGTAGATATATTTCCTTGGAAGATATCAAGAAAAAAAGAAAAAAAAAAAAAAAGAGAGAAGAAAAGTAATCACGCGCGTCCTTAGAAATGCGATTCGCGTCTGGTGCAACGACCCATTTTCCACGTACGTAGTTATCGTATCGGGTATAATAAAAAAGGAATAAAAAATAAAAAAAAAAAAAAAGAAAAAGAAGAAGAAGCAGAGAAGACGAGTTAGCGAAATACTTTTCCTTATAAATCGCGTCAAGTTCGACGACGATAGTAACTAGATTGAGAAGGAAAAGAAGAAGAAGAAGAAGATGGGTGGGAAAAAGGGGTGGAGGGGGGTTAGGTGGTAAGTAGAGGGTAAAGTAAAAAGTAAGAAGTCGCTAAGAAGTAAGTAAGTAAGTGAGTAAGTGAATAAGTAAGTATGATAGTATAAAAGAACAACGAAAGAGAAACGAGAAAGTTAAAAGAATGAGCTAGAGAGAGGGGGAGGGAGAGAGAGAAGAAAAGAGAATAGAATAGAATAGAAGAGAAGAGAAGGGGAAAGGCATAGCCCTTGGTAGATCGTTCTAGAAGGATCGTTTTAGAACGATCTCGCGATTTTCTCGAGGAGTGATCTCGAAATAGCGCGGCGCTTAGGCCACGTGGGTGAGTCTCTCCGTTACATCGTACGAGATGACGTAGCAAGCTCCGATTGGACGATAGAATGGGCGTGCGCGCGTTCGTGTGTGTGTGTGTTGTTCGACGGCGAAAGGCACGTCGCACGTATGTATGTGTGTGTGTTTGTACAAGTTGGCGGCGGCAGCTTTTAATGTGTCCTCGCTGGCACGTACGTACGTACCTCCCCACTGGTATCAAACTTTTTTTTTCCTTCTTCGACTTCTTAATCTTTTTATTTCTCTTTCTACCTTGTTTCTTTTCCTTCGTGCTCATCATTTTCTTCTTCTTCTTCTTCTTGTCTGTTACAAGGACTCATCTGAGGCCAGTTTCTCTCGAGGCACATTCCTTGCGGAGTTTAGGTCGAGCCCTCCCCTCCCTCCAGCTATTCTATCACAATTTCTCTCTCTCTCTCTCTCTCTCTTTTTTTTACTTCACATCTAACCGGTTTGCAATATCTCCCAGACGGACGTCCGGCCGACCAATCGTTTCTCGTCCCCGACAAATTCCTCTCTGACGAGTAAACGTCATTTGACGCCATTGACCACGCGTCATTATAATTCACATATAATTGAATACCTTGTACATAATACTTTATCTCTATAAGAAAGATCAATTTTTAATCGATCCCCGTTCTTTCTTACTTCCATTTTTTTATTTGTTTGTTTTTGTTCGTTTTCTACGAGCAAGTCAACACGTTCGGTAGTATATATACCAAGGGTGTGGGGGGGATGCCTTGGAAAGTCGGCTTTCATGGGATATCAAGTGGAATATATACCTACACTATCCCAAGGGAATTCCCTTGCACGGAGCGAATTAGTTGGCTCCGAAGCCACGAATCCTCTTTGGACCGACCAACCGAACGTTGGCACAGGTCAGTTCATCGGGAAACAGTGAGAAAGAAATAGAGTTCTTACTCTCTTTCAAACCAAACAGTTAACCGAGTTCGTAAAATACATTCGGAACTTTCGGTAGCGGATTTTCTCTTACGTAAGTAGTTGCGCTTAATTAAGCCTCTAAACAACAACGTTAAGAAAGTATACGAGTTAGCGAGTGAGAACGAGAAAGAGAGAGACTGAGAGAGAGAGAGAGAGAGAGAGAGAGAAAGAGAGAGATAGATTGACTTCAACGAGTTTGCCCAGTATAAGATAAGAACGAAGAAGCAATAGCGAATTTCGATTTTATTTTTATCCTACAATAAAGCCTATCCGTTTTCATTTATTCGATCTTTTCTTCCTATTGTTCTTACTTTTTTTTTTTTTTTTTTAATTTTATTACCGAAAAAAAAGGAAAATAAAATCATGAAAAATATCACATCGTTGCAGTTGTTAATTATTCTAAAAACATAAAACTAAAATTAGAAATGATAATAAGTATATCTGTATTTATATCTTTTCAATTTATAGACATAATAGATAAGAAAAAAGATTAGATACGATAAAAGAATAAGAAAAATATTATATATTAATTATTTAATTTTATGAATAATCAATTTATTATATTTTACTATTATGTAATATTTAAAATAATCAAATTCGCGTAAAGTTTCATAAGAAAATGATATACTAGGTAATGAAATATAACACACCAGTTACATTTAATAAAATAAGAAAAAGTACTCTCGTTATTGTAATTATAGTTATATGTATTATTTGATACGATAAGGAAAATGATTATGAAAACATGGTCTTCGTTGATAAACCATTAGTTAAATCGATACGCGTTGATA